GCAAGGGAGAAGGGGGGACTGGACCTAGTCCTAGAGAACTAATAGCTATTCTTAACTCCAACACATCGCACACGTGGTCCTGAGCAAGCCTCATAAGAACACCAGGCCCCGGATTTTATCGTTGCAAAATAAGAAAAATGTGGGTAATACCTGTCCCCTCTACCTCACGAAATTAGCAGGGGCTTCATTTGTTCTTTCATTCATTCAACAGGTATTTATGGAGTGCTTACTGCTTGCCTATACAGTTTCAGAGTGGACATAAACAAATCAAAGACCCCTGTCCTTAGGAAACGTATATTCTGGGAGGGTCAGGTGAATTCTAAGGGTGCAGATGCTAGTGGGACCAATATCATTGCGTGTGGACAGGCCTTAAAGGCTAAGAGCTATGCAGATGGGAGGGGTTATCCCCATAGGGCTTTCTGGTCCTGATGCCCTGAATTAAAAGAAACCAGATAGAAATAGCACCTGACTTCATGCTTCTTCCCAGGCTTTGAGGGCTTGGATTCCGTTGCCCTCTGAGCACACCTCTGGGAGTGCCGATGACATGCAGGAGACAGTGAGACATGCAGCCAGAGCCAGGAAGGCTTGGCAGGCTGCTTTCCAGGTCCCTTGGAATCTCCAGCATGTTCCAAACTCTTGGGCAGGACCAAAATAGTTTATCAGCCAAAAAGCACTACAGAGCTTGTCTGATCTCAGCCCTCAGCCACTCTGAACCCAAGGGGTCTAACGCAGCTCCCCCACTCCCCTCTCCTCCCCGGCAGGAGATGTTCGGGAGCATGTTTCACGCAGAAACTCTGACCGCCCTGTGAGGCCCAGCAGTTCCCAGGCTGCCTCCAGAGCGCATGGCACCTGGGACTTCGTGAAGGATGAGCCTGGGATCACAGCAGATGGCAGGGAGAGGACAGCACCTCCACCAGGACGTTGGCTCCTCTCTCTTCTCCTCCTCCTCCTCTCTCGTCACCCTGCCTCCCTCCTGGCATCTCTAGAGTGAGCCAGTCTCAAAAGCAGGGAAAGCTTCTGCGAACCCTCGTGATGCTGGCCAGCAAGCATCCCGTTTGCTCTCCATGGCGGCTGACCAGAGGCCCTGACTGCTGGACGTGAAGCATGAACCAAGAACAGAAGGGAAAGTGTGGATGCTGACCTGGAGTGAAAGCTTCAGAGGTGTCCTTGGGCATGCATGGCTTGGTGTCACATGGTGTCACCAAGCTGTCACAAGACACAGGAACAAAGTTGCTTAGGACTCTGTCACTTGCCCCTTCCAGCTGCCCCAACTCTGTTCCCGGTAGCTCTGCTCCTCTGGGACCCTGTACTCCCCACAACCCAGGAATCTCTGTCTTGGTGATTGTACAGCCTCCTCCTCACCTCCAGGCTGCTGGGACCTCCATGCTATTCAACACATCAGACTCAGCCTGGGGAGTAGCCAGGGCCCTCAAGGCCAGCAGAACTACCTCCCCAGGAGCAGTTCACCAAGGTTGCTGCCCCAGCTTCCTGAAACATTACCATTCCCCCTGCCCTCAGGGTTGCTTCCTTCCACTTGATAGTAGGAACCCAAAAGGAAGAGGAGGAGGAGAGCTGGCAGAATCCTCTGGCAACCTAGCAATAGGTACCAGTTATTCTGCACAAAAGCTTGTAGGGTTCCCTCTTTGTACCAGAGATGGGGGTGGGGTGCTAGTGCCAACTGAGGGCAAACTAGTGGGACCTGAGTGAGCCTTGACCGTCCTCCCTGACCTGACAGCCCATCAGGGAAATGCCTCCTCCACTTGGGAACTCTGACTTCTCCTTCTTCACTTGGCAAGAGCCAATGACTTTAACTCTTCCTTATCAACTTGGGGCCTGAATCCTTCAGCCAAGCAAGGGAGAATGCCCCCCAAAGACCAGCTACACCCCCACCTAGGCACAGAACATGGAGAAGGGCTGACCCAGATTGGGTCTTCCTCCACAGGGATTCCTTAACAAACTCAGGACCTGAAGCCACCTCCTTCTAGGAAAGATGAGAAGAGGGGTTAAGTTCTCTAGGAACATAAGGAGGTAACTGGAGGAACCCACTGTGACTTGAAAATAAATAGGTTTCGTGAGCAAGTGTTTGGGGAAATTTCCATGGATGTGCACACAAAAAAACACTTTTGGCCTCTCCCCACTGCTTCTCCCAAGCTCCTTCAACTTAATGACCCCTGCCCAACAGGTTGGGCTGGCCCAGCCTAGAAAAATGTACCAATTCCTAACTTCAGCCTGACCTGCATTGTGTGTGTGTATGTTGAGTGAGCCAGTCAGCTAGCAAGTCTTCTTAGAGTTAAAGGAGTGGGCACTGACAAAGAGCCAACAGATTCTTGGCCTACAAGCATTGCTTCTGTGTGAATTATTATGCCATCTGGCTGCCAATGGAACTCAAAACTTGGAAGGCAGAAGACAATGTTATCTGGGATTCACCATGCCCAGCACTCAAAGTGCCAAATTCCAGGAAGACAAGACCTTAGCCAATGACAACTCACCCTCCCCTACTCCACCTCCTTCAGAGTCTAGCTTAGGCCTAGGAGGTGGAAAAAGATCACAGAGTCTCAGGACATCCAAGTCAAGAGATCCCCTTTGAACCAAATGTTTCTATCCTTGGGGACTTGATTAAGTCGCCATTAACCACCAGGCCAGCCCCAGACTTAATGGGGATTACTGACTCATGATGGCCTGGAGTTGGAGCTCATGGAGGGATTCCACAACATGTTCCATTGGAATTGGAAACACAGGGGGGTGGAGAAAGATATTATAGAAAACTTCATTTTTAGAATACTTTGGAAAGAACACAAATTCACATAGACCACTCCCTGGAAATGATCGAAGCAGGAAAGGAGGGCAAGGTGGTGAAATGATCCAGAATTTCAATTCTTAGTGATACAGACCTGTGATGTTGTGGTTCCTGGGAAAGCCAGGATTCTTGAGACATTTGTGTAATTTATTTAATTTAAATGCCTTTCTCCTTTTGTTCATTTTGGTAATAAAGTGCTTTTGAAATGTGAATAAATGCGTGTATTTGAGTGGTTTTCCAGAGAAGATAAACAAGTCACCTCCCAGAAAAGCTGGCCTTGCTTTGCACTGTCCTGGGGGAAAGGAAGCCACAGGAGCTAAGAATTCACCATGAGTCTCTCAGTGCCTCTCCAGGTTCTGGTTTTCCACTCCCAGCAATGAATCAACTCCATGATCCAGCCGAAGAGCAGAGATTAGGGTAAGAAGACTGCGCTAAGGGACCCACATACTCAGGACCAGTTCCCAGAGCCCACTCTGTGATTTCTGTGGCTGTCAGGGAAGTGAAAGCCCCATCATCTCTCTGTGCACCTTTCACATGCTAATTCTTCAACATTCATGAGATGTCTATTCAAGGCCAACCCCATCATACTCAGCAAAGCTGTCAGGGTCCTTGGTTTGGGGGAACACACATCTAGTCACAGCTTTTCCTCCCCAGTTTGTGATGAAATGCACGGAGCATAGCGCCATAGGACTCAACTGTGCAAAGAGTTACGTTGGCTCCCAAGGTTGTCTGTTAACAACAGGAAATGAGAGGAGTCAGAAAAACAACAAAGGTGTGAAGGAGACAGGAATGAAGTGGAAAGAGATAGACTAGAGGCAAGACAAAGCCCAGAGGAAGTACAAGAGGGGAGTGAATACATATCAGAGTAGAAATAAATGGCTAAAAATATAATACAAAAGATCAATGAAACCAGGAGCTGGTTTTTTGGAAAAAAAAAAAAAATTAGATTGACAAACCTTTAACCAGACTCATCAAGAAAAAGAGAGAGATGATACAAATAATGAAATCAGAAATGAAATCGAGGAAGCAATAACTGACATCACAGAAAAACAAAGGACTGAAAGAGAATATTATGAGCAACTAAATGCCAACAAATTGGACCGCCTGGGCAAAATGGACAAGTTGCTAGGAGGATTCAATCTTCCAAAACCGATTCAGGAAAAATCAGAAAACCTGAATAGATCTATTACAACTAATAAAATTGAATCAGTAATCAAAAAGATCTCCCAGCAAACAAAAGTCCTGGACCAGATGGCTTCACAGGTAAATGTTACAAATATTCAAACTATTGCAAAAAAATTCAAGAGGAGGAAAGACTCCCAAGCTCATTTTAGGAGTCCATATCCTAATTCCAAAACTAGATAAAGACACTGAAAAGAAAGAATATTATAGGCCAATGTCCCTGATGAAAATAGATGCAAAAATCCTCAACAAAATATTAGCAAACTGGATCCAGCAATACACTGAAAAAATCATACACCATGATCAAGTGGGATTTATTCTGGGGATGCAAGTTTGGTACAATATTCGCAAATCAATAAATGTGATAAGCAAAATGAAGGATAAAATCACATGATCATACCAGTGGATACAGAAAAAGAATTTGATAAAATCCAACATCCATTTATAATTTAAAAAAAAAAACCTCTCAGCAAAGTGAGAATAGAATGGTCATACTTCAACATAATAACGGCCGCATATGACAAACCTACAGTCAATAGCATACTCAATGGGCAAAAATTAAAAGAATTTCCCTTAAAATAAGAAACAAGACAAGGATGTCTGCATTTCCCTTAAAATCAGAAACAAGACAAGGATGTCTGTTTTACCACTCTTATTAGCATAGTACTGGAAGTCCCAATCACAGCAATTAGACAAGAAGAAAAAATAAAAGGCATCCAAATTGGAAAAGAGGAAGTAAAACTGTTATTATTCACAGATGTCATGATATTGTACATAGAAAACACTAAAGACTCTACCAAAAAACTTCTAGATCTAATAAATGATTTCAGTAAAGTAGCAGGATATTCAGAAATCGGTGGTATTGTTATACACCAATAATGAACTACGACAGAGAAATTTAAAACACAATCCCATTTACTATCACAACAAAAAATATAAGGTACCTAGGAATAAATTAAAACAAGGAGGTAGAAGACTCGAACTCAGAAAATTATAGGACATTGAAGAAAGAAATTGAGGAAGATATAAACTCAGAAATCAGTGGTATTGTTATACACCAATAATGAACTATGACAGAGAAATTTAAAACACAATCCCATTTACTATCGCAACAAAAAATATAAGGTACCTAGGAATAAATTAAAACAAGGAGGTAGAAGACTCGAACTCAGAAAATTATAGGACATTGAAGAAAGAAATTGAGGAAGATATAAACAAGTGTAAGTATATACCATGTTCATAGATTGGAATAATTAACATCATTAAAATGTCCATACTACCCAAAGCAATCTATAGAGTCAACACAATTCCTATTAAAATACCAATGGCATATTTCACAGATCTAGAACAAATATTCCAAAAATTCATATGGAACCAAAAAAGACCCTAAATAACCTCAGCAATCTTGAGAACGAAAAACAAAGTTGGAGGAATCATGATATCTGATATCAAACTATGCTACAAGGCCATTGTAATCAAAACAGCCTGGTACTGGCATAAGAACAGGCATATAGCTCAATGGGATAGAACAGAGAACCCAGAAATAAACCCGCGCCTTTATGATCAAGTACTATTTGACCACGGAGGCACGAGCATACAATGGCCTATAGACAGTCTCCTCGGAAGAAGATGAAGCGGAAAGAGCGGGAGCTGCGACTGCTCATGCGCCGCCTGGACAACGCTGGCAAAACAACTATCCTCAAGAAGTTCAATGGAGAAGACATCGACACCATCTCCCCGACCCTGGGCTTCAACACCAAGACCCTGGAGCACAGGGGATTCAGCTGAACATCTGGGATGTGGCGGCCAGAAGTCCCTGCGGTCCTACGGGCAGAACTGCTTGGAGAGCACTGCCAGCCTCTTCTGGTTGGAAGACAGCACCCACCGCCAGCGCATGCATCTGCCCGCGGGAGCTCCAAGGCCTTTTGGTGGAGGAGGCCATCTTTGCTAACAAGCAGGACCTGCCTGGGGCACTATCTTCTAACACCATTCGCGAGGCCCTGGAGCTGGACTCCATCTGAAGCCACCACTGGTGCATCCAGGGCTGCAGCGCTGTCACAGGAGATAACCTGCTGCCCGGCATCGTCTGGCTCCTAGAGGACATTTCCGGCCGCCTCTTCACAGCCAACTGAGCCGCTCCAGGTGCCCCCACCTCCCAGACCGGGCCCCCCCTATCCCAGACCCTCACCAAGCACCACCCATGGGAGGATGGGTCTCAGCCAGCCCAACTAACACTCCACGCCCCCTTGGTAACCTGCTGCTGCTGCCCACTGCTGCCCCATGGCCAGCCCAGATCCCATGGCGGGTGTCACAGGAGATAACCTGCTGCCCGGCATCGTCTGGCTCCTAGAGGGCATTTCCAGCCTCCTCTTCACAGCCGACTGAGCCGCTCCAGGTGCGCCCACTCGCAGTCCAGGGTCCCCCTACCCCAGACCCTCACCAAGCACCACCCACGGGAGGATGGGTGTCAGCCAGCCCAACTAACACTCCACGCCCCCTTGGTAAAGGGGCTGCCTCTGCTGCTATGGAGACTGTGGCCTCATCCTTGCTCAGCTGTGAGGATAAACTGTTCCTTGTCCTGAAAAAAACAAACAAACAAACAAACAAAAAGACAGTCTTCTCAATAAATGGTGCTGGAAATATGGACATGATCAACCAAAAAAATGAAATGGTTACTATAAGCTATGTACTCTTCTGAGTGCTTTACATATATTAACTCATTTAATCTTCCCAAAGGCCCTAAGAGGTACATACTCTCATTATCCAGAGGACCTGTCAAGGTTTTGTACACTAGATCCTGAATTCTTCTAGTTTCCTCCAATATTTAGGTAGAATTCTCCAGACTAACATCCAATTTTCTCCCTCTCTTTTGACCTGGAATCACTAAGAAACTAAAACTACCCTTTTTCTAAAGCCATGCAAGCTAAAACTGGACAACTGAGTATTCACTTTAGAGAGATCGCTAGAACAGCTGATATGTAGACAATCTTTGTGCCTGTTGCTATGGGGGCCACTCAGATCATCAGAAACAATTCAAACTGCAGACCAAGGAAGCCTATCAGATTGCACTGCTTGCCCTCACTCCATCTAAAGAAGTTTCAAACCCGGCATCTAGAACTCATCTCAGCTGGCTGTTCTCCAAACTCAAAAGCTGAATTTACAATTTGCTCAAACTATTAACCTTTGTTTTACTTTTGTTTCCACAGGAATTTTTTCCCATTAGATTACCTGATTGCTCACAACCTATACAGGCCTAACTTAGACAGAAGCTCACCTAAAACCCATGTCCTGAAATAAAATATTCTTATGTTCATCCCATCATAAGTTATTACGAGGATATATGTTTGCTAATACAGCATGTTGTGCCGATGTAAACAACTTTTAAAAAATTGAAACCCACTTTGATTTATTTGGTTGGCTAAATCCTTGGCTATTATTCTCCCCATATTCATCACATTCACTTTTCTAATATGTTACATATTCTCAAGGATTTTAAATGCCTGTCAGCAGCCACTCACATGCCCAATGCCCAATCCGGATCAAACAATTGATTGAAACCAACAATAACCACATAAATGATGAAGGTGATGACTTCATGGCTCTCTGGCCTGACAACTCAACCAATGGAAACATCAGATATTTCAACCTGATTAGGTCAGCGGTGGTCACCAAGAGTAATGCTGCTGGTCATACTCTTGGCCTGCTGAGAGAATGCCAAAAAGTGGTGAATTGTTAAAATCAAAACTAAACAGAAACCAGCCTTGATTTTCCCTGAGCAGGTAAAACTAGTTTAGTCATTCAAACAAGCTCAACTTAGCTTATGTTGCAAGACTAACTTGACGTGGGTCATTTCTTGCTTATGCCTCTGAAAATCATAAGCAAAACCTGAACTGTTTGCCATGGTTGATATGAAGTAACCGCTGAAAATTCTAATATTGCAACCAATTACTGTGAAGAATAGTCACTGCTTTTCTCACTGTATAAGCTGCTTTATAACAATATAACCCTGATCCTCA